CTAGCTATTCTAACAATTAAAATCCTATCCAAGAAACATCAAGATTGAATCTAATCCATTCGAATAACCCCAGAGAACTAATTACAGATCTGAAATTACATGAAACATGACACAATTACAGCAAGAAAGAAGTATCAARTGAGAAAATATCATGAAACCCTAGCTGAGATCATTTACTACTTGCGCAGAATTCAAGGAAGAAGATAACCTAGATTGTTCTCCTTTAATGGCTTTTTCTCCAAATTCGGATTCAGCACMTCTTCTTCTCTTGAAGCTTCTTGAATCTCCCCCTTTCTTCTCTTTTGCGCACCTCTCTCTCAATTCTCCTAAAAGGATTTCGAACCAAAGGAGTTTGAACCCTTTTTCCCTCTTTCTCTTCTCCTTTTGTAGCTTTYACTTCAGCCCCTTTCTCTCATCTAGAAAGTTTGCCGCCTTTAGGCTCCTCGGGCTGCACTTTGGGCTGCTCTTGAGCTGTACATGGGCCTTCCTCTTGCTGGAGCGAATGGACTCCCTTGATGAGCTTCGGCTAGGCTCTCTCCTTGGGTTCCCCAATGGAGTGCTGCCAAGCTTCATGCATCGAATATCCCTCCTTAGGCTTTTCGGTTGGGCCTTTCTCCCARCTGTGGTGAATTGCCTTCACTTGGCCTCTTTTCCATGGTTTTATGTTATCTTTCCCCTATGCTGGTCTCCCTTGATAATTTCCTGAAATCAAGCTAAATTGARGTAAGAATTTACACAAATCAGCATCAAAACCATGCATAAACGTAAGAATTTATGTATAATTTGCACACACATCACTAAAACACACATTAGACTTTACGGAGAAAGGMAAAACTCCTTTGTTTTATGGATTAATAATAGAAACTTCTTTCTTAACTCTTTCAATGCTTAGAATTAATGTGGTTTTTACACAACTCTATCATTTTTCAAGCCATCCCAATCATTCTTTACCCCACATTATTTCTTTCTATTTCTTTGTTGTTTTTTTTTTTTGTTTGTTTTTTTCTCTTTTTTCTTTTTGTTATCCCTTTTTATATTTCTTTTATTATCATTTATATCGCCTTTATTTACTCAATCAAATTAATAGTCCAAGACAAATCAAGGAAACTTACATAGACTTCAAAGAAATATAGACGTAGGTCAAAGCATAGAGGCTAACATGACCAAAAGAATTTATGGCATAAGTTAAAGCATAGAGGCTGACATGACTCCAATGGGATTTATGACGTGGGCCAAAGTATAGAGGTTGACATGACCAACCGAATTTCTGATACAGGTCAAAGCATAGAGGCTGACATAAGCAATGGAATTTCTGACGTGGGTCAAAGCATAGAGGTTGGYATGACCAACAAAATTTCTAATGCGAGCCAAAGCATAGACGTTAACATGACCAATGGGATTTCTGACGCAAGTCAGAGGGTAGAGGATGACATGAGCAATAGAATTGTAACGTAGGTGAAAGCTCAGAGGCTAACATGACTAATGGGATTTTTTGACGTGGGTCAAAGCATAGAGACTGACATGACCTGCGGTATTTCTGATGAGGATCAAAGCATAGAGGCTAACATGACCAATGGATTTTCTAACGTGGGTCAAAACATAGAGGCTGACATGACCAATGAGAATTTTTGATGTGGGTTAAAGCATAAAGGCTAACATGACCAATGGAATTTCTAACGCAGGTCAAAGCATAAAGGTTGACATGACCAATGGAATTTCTGACGTGGGTCAAAGCATAGAGGCTAACATTACCAACGGAAATTTTTTACGCGAGTCAAAGCATAAAGGTTAACAAAACCAATGGAATTTCTAACACAGGTTAAAGCATAGAGGCTAACATAATCAATAGAATTTCTGACGTGGGTCAAAGCATAGAGGCTGACTTGACCAATAGGATTTCTAATGTGAATCAAAGCATAGAGGCTGACATGACCAACAAATTTCTGACGTAAGTCAAAGCATAGACACTGACATGACCAACGGGAATTTTTTATGCAAGTCAAAGCATAGAGGTTGAGTCATTGATATGACCAACAAAATGTCTGACGTAAATCAAAGCATAGAGGTTGACACGACTCCAATGGGATTTCTGATGAGGGCTAAAGCATAGAGGCTAACATAACCAACAAAATTTCTGACATAGGTCAAAAGCATAAAGGTTGGCATGACCAATGGAATTTCTAACGTGGTCAAAGCATAGAGGTTGACATGATCAACGAGATTTCTGACGCGAGCAAAATCATAGAGGCTGACCTGACCAACGAGATTTTTGACGTAGGTCAAAGCATAGAGGCTAACATGACCAATGGGAATTTCTAACATAGGTCAAATAGAAGATGATGACATGACTAGTGCAATTTCTGACACAGGTCAAAGCATAGAGGCTAACATGACCAACAAAATTTCTTATGCAGGTCAAAGCATAGAGGTTGACAGGACCAATGGTATTTTCTGATGTGGTTAAAGCATAGAGGTTGACATGACCAATGTGATTTTCTGACGTGGGTCAAAGCATAGAGGATGACATGACCAACAAATTTTTCGACGTGGGTCAAAGCATAGAGGTTGACATCCAATGGAATTTCTAATATTGGTCAAAGCATAGAGGCTGATTTGGCCAATGAAGGATAGACACTGGTCAAAGCATGGAGGCTGACATGACCAATAAAATTTATGGCGTAGGTCAAAGCATAGAGGGTGACATGACCAATGGGATTTTCTAACATGGGTCAAAGCATAGAGGTTGACGTAACTCCAATAGGATTTTTGATGTAGGTCAAAGCAAAGAAGCTGACATGACCAACAGAAAGCCAATATGAATATCATCAATGAAATTGGGATTTAGTTACTTTAACTGAAAAAAATAAACTTTAATGAATATGAACATAAGTAGTAGAACACTGAAGTTTGAGATAAACAACTAAAGGGATTTTCGAAGAAAACGACATTGATTCGCACAAAAGAGCTTAGAATGACCAACATATAAGAAACCAAAGGGATATGATGTGATAACACAACCAAGATAGAAATTGAGTATGCAAGAAAAAAGATCAAAACATCTCTTCAAATTTTGGTACAAAGAAGTATTCAATTATCAAGTAATGCATAAGGACATGAAATCTTGGAATGGTAAGAAGGGAARGCTTCAAAATTCAAGGGAAAAAATGCTTTCAACMTTWATTCATATGAAAGTAATTATGTCCAAATAGATTATATCTGGTTTGCATCAAATGAGAGTGTGTACCCTCTCTTCAGGATCATCACTTAAAACTCATTGACTTCAAAAGCATGCACGATAGAATTGTAAGATGTTGAACCAATGATTCATTGTTAGAAAAACCTTTATCACAGGGGGTCTGCCCCAGTTTTTTTTGGCTAATATAAATGGTGGGTTATGAAGTTGATACATCAATGGAGAGAAGGTCCTTCATTGCCGGCCAAATAGGTCTGTTTAGTGTTGATTTACCAATTTTTCATAGATCAAGGAGGTATTGCTCATTAGGACAGAACATGGCATAGGATGGAGGTCACAAATGATGGGTTGTTAAAAAGGCCCAAATAAAAATTGGAATAAGCATCAGATGTTCAAGTCATCTCTTTAGGGATTTAATTCAAGGTCTACTCTCATCATCTTTTTATTCTCTTTCTTCTCTCTCTTTTTTAAATTTTTTTATTAAGGCTCTCTTCATAGCCATATGGATGGGCAGTGCTCTTCACATTCTTCATCAGTATGAATTGTGCCTTCTTATTGATGGACTTTTATTTTGGGACGAAATGTAAATAGGTAGAAAAGATCAAGATCAGCAACTGAATGTCATCATGCAAAATCCCATAGAGATAAAATCATCTTAATTGTTGATAGTTCTGCATTTTGATGCCTTAAGGGCATCAATTTAGGGGTATTTTCGGACTTAGAATAGTCAAAGTGTACCATTTTCCCAGCTAAAATCAACTATGTGACCTTTGAGGGTCTTTGTGCAAATTATGTAGAAAACTATGAAGTTTTCTAGGTTGAAGTGCAGTTTTTGGGAAGCTGGTGTAAAGACCAACTGAGAGAGGGGTTGTTTTTGTAAAGAATTGAGAACAGGAGCCTTAGCAAACCCTTAGCAAACCCTATCTACTATGCTCCCATCATACTGTATTACCATGCTCCCATCTCCTTAGCAAACCCTAAGGAGCCTTTTTAACCTAATCTTTTCACTCTTAGCAAACCCTAGGCGCCCCTAGGTGTTTAATCTCCACCATCCACCTCTTTTAGTCTCAACCACTCATTTTAGGACTCTCCTTTATAGCTTTTAAACCCCAGTGCGCCACCTATTCTACTAATCCTCACCATTCAGCCCCTCACCTCCAAATATCAGCCACTCCCTCCATCTTATATCCCAACCATTCAATCTAGGGCACCACCTATTCTTTTAATATTAATATTTCAACCCTAGATGTTCTAATCTACACCTTCCATTTCTGGGTGCCCAAATCTCAGCCCTACATAATATTGGGCACCCTCTCCTTTTATTTTCAGCCATAGGATCACCTCAAAACCATTTTAGCCATCCATTAGAAACCCTAGGGCATCCCTAACTTTGCTAAATCCCAGCTACCGCCCCCATCTTTCTCCCTATTTTCAGTTGTGTCCACCATTCTCTATAAAAATGGTCCTAGGGGCCCTATAGAAGGGATTTGTCAATTCACCCAGTTAACAAGGCTAAGGTTTCTTGAGGAGTTCAAGGGTTGTAAAAGGGAAGGATGCCTAGATCTTGTCAGGAGGGGTTCCTGCAAGCTGTTCAACCATTCTGCAACTACCGCCACTAGATCTGATCAACCATTCTTTTCTTTTCTTTATTTTATTTTTCTGTTATTTTTATTTCTGCAATCTTTTAGATTTAATTCTTGTTAGTTTCTCTGTTTTGCATATTTGAATTCGTCTTGGTTCAAGGCTAAGGTGTCTCGAGGGGTTCGAGGGTTGTAGAAAGGACGGACGCCCGACCCAGCCTAGTCAGGTTGCTTGAAAATGAAACCGAAATCGACCCTATGTTAGGCAAAACCGACCTAATCGGTTTGAGTCGGTTTGGGTCGGTTTGAGTACTTGAGTTGAGGGGCTAAGAGAGTAAGGGCAGACCAAGTTAGAAGTTAACAAGAAAAGAGAAAGTCAAATTGTGTTAGAAAAAGAAGACTGAAATTTGGAATTTTTAAGAAGGCTTCTAATCTAAGTAAAAAAGACACCTAATTGTATTTACCTATTTGGTGTAAAGGACCTTAGAGAATAGGATCCTTTCTTTAAACCTTCCAAGAAAATGCAAGCTATTAATGGCATTAATGGCATTCCTTGTATTGCAATGCTTGCCATTAATGGCATTCCTAAAGAGAAGGCTAGAAAGTAGAAACTATAAGTAATTATAAGTAACTAGAAAGTAGAAACTAAGTTAGGTACTAACTATTAAGTACTAGCTGGGAACTAAGTCGGTTCGGTTTCGGTTTTCATGTGTGGAAACCGAAACCAAACCGACCCATCGGTTTATGCTTTTTAGTAACCCGAAACTGACCGACGCTAAAGAAAATCCGGCCAACTCGGGTTGGGTTGGACTGGGTTGGTCGGTTTGGGTCTTCTTTTGAACAGCCCTAACAAAATGATTAAAAGATAAATTTGCTTCTGGTCCAGCATAAGTTGGTTATGATCTTTGGGTTGATTTGTGGTATACCAATTGAGTTCTGCCTTTTCTAACCCAGCATAAGTTGGTTTTTGAAATAGCTTTCGGATCCTTGGTGATGACAAAATGCTACCCATATTACTTGAGTCAACTGGAAGTATATTTCAAGGCTTTATAATTGACAGGTTGAAGGCATTAAATGGCTAGAAGCCTAGAACAAATAACTTGAATCCTTTCTGAACTTGATCATTGCAGTTTTCAGTTTTCAAATGTACCCCTTATGGTGGCGTGGTTGAGAGGAGGGATCCCATAGCTTTTCTTGAATGTACCCCTTACTGCTGCTTTCAGTTTTCAAATATATATAAGCTTATAATAGACTAGTTAATTGGACAAGTTGATCAGAAACGTGACCTGTTGTTAGATGATCAAGCAATAACAGGAAGATTTATTTAGGATACATTGTGTAGGAAAAAGTATTAAATTAACAGAGAACTGTAGCTGTAAGCTGCCACAGAGTTGCATTGCTTATTCATAGCCTTTATAAAACAGGATGCACTAAAACCTGGTTTTTGGCTTCACAAGTAAAAAGGGGCTTTGGGTTAAATTGGATACTCTTAGACATGGACGACTTTGCCTCGTTTTGTCTCATTTTAACTCACACATATATATTATAGATCTCAGTATTTGAGGACTACTACAAAGTCTACAACTAAAGCAGAGATATCCAATCTCCTACCTTTTTTGATATAATATGTGTATCCCATATAAATAGAGAAATGAACAGGGCCCCTCATGAGCTAGCATATAATGCATGTAAATGGAAAAAGTAAGAATCTCAGCAAAACYCCTGTTTGTTCAATCATTTGTTGCATGCCTTACTTGGCCTTTAAGCACTCTATAAGGCTATAGAGAAATTGGCTTAGAAATCTTAGAGTTTCTAAAGAGACAAAGAAGAACAAGAAGAAGGCATATGAGCTTAGGAAAAATTTTACGAGGTTGGGGAGATCAGAGAGATCAGTGATTTAATCTCAACCATCCAAGTAATGTATTGAGGTTCCAAATAAATCAACCCAAGAATCCACGCTAACAATGTGGTCTCTTAAGAGCAATGAATTAATCATGACCAACCAAGCATTTACCAATAGATCCCATCCGTTCAATTAATACATGGAAATTTCTAAAAAAATCCACGCTATTTTAGCATAAAAAAACATAAAATCTAGATCATTAAAAGCCATCCAAACAATGTATCATGCTAAGTGGGTTCAAAGGACAGCAAATGGAATGGTGGATGCCTTGGCAAAAATAGGGGCAAATAGGCAGAAACTTCTTTTGCACATAGATGCTTATGTAAGAGAAGGGATAGGTGGAGTGTAGCCAGCCTATTTAATGGGATATATCACACTTGTATATAATTGATTTTTATCTTCAGCTGCCAGAGGGAACACCTTGTTCTGTTGGATTAGGGGATTATGTTAATGTTCTGGGTATTCCTTTGGCCTGAGGTGGGGTTGATATTTGACAAAAGTGGCTTATTTTGGGGCTTGTGTTTTGCTGGACCAAGGAATTTAATTTACTCATTGTGAGTGTTTTTGGATTGTTTCTGTTTCTGTTGTCTATATATATATTAATCTGATATTTATTTTAATCAGTTTATGTAACTGTTAAATAACTAGGGGAGGTTTAAGTAATTTATCCTTGTTATAAAAAGGTGAAATCATAATCCAAATGCTAGAAATCCAAATCTAGGAACCAAATCCCACTTAGATTCTTGAAAAAAGAGAACTAAGATACATCAAAATACATAGTTATAAGCAGTTATACAGAAGTATAGTGACATGACCCCCATGTTTTAAAAGAATCTTAATGGCCAAGAAATCAAATATATGACAGACCTCAGAAAGGTACTCCATCCCTTGGAAACCACAACTCCAGAACATGGAACTGGAACCCAAAAGGAGATCTTTCAATTTGTCCATGCATATCTAGAATAGAGAAGCCTGAACCTTTAAAGAACTTGCTCAGAACTTGTTAAAGGAATGTCTCCATACTAGGAAATCTTACATAACTCTAAATTAGGTTCTAGAATATTAATAAGATCTACAGGACAAGATTATGAAGATGACCAGCTAAATGAAATTGAAGAATGTTTCTTGAGGCAGTTGGATGAAAATGAAGAGCTAACAAGTGATGGCACTGAGAAATCGGCTAGAGCATCAAGGAGGGTGCAGATCAGTCCAAGCGGCTGCTCTTATCTCAACACAATCTCTGCAGTAATTGCAATCCGATGGTTGGGGGGTATTTCCAGTGCTACAGAGGAATTAGAAAGTCTATAAGATGGGTAGGGGACCAGCACCCTCCAAATTGGCCATGTATTTCAAAAAACATGTGATTTCTGGATCCCAACCTAGAAGATTTCCAGGTGACACAGCAGCTTAATTTAAGTTTCAGCTCATCAATAGCCACTGTTTGGCTAATTAACTACTATTCTTAATAATAATTCCAAGCTCAATAGCCACTGTTTCAATATATACTTATTCCCTTTGAATGCCAGGCTGTTGGATACTCGTTTTTCAGATGCCAACAAATTCCAACTGCACAGAATCCCAAGTATCCAGCCACTCATCTAAGGCTAACTAAATAGAAACGTGGCAAATGCTTCCTATGATGAAGAACAACCTCTGGTATGAACGTAGTTGGTTAGGGTTTGAATGTTTGTTTTCTCTACAACATTTTCAATGTGTTTAATTAGAGTTTAATCAGAGTTTAAATGTGCTTGGCCATCAATGCAACAAACTAGATAGGACTAGGACAGGTGGGGCATCCAAGGTTTAAAGTATTGCATAAGTATTGGGTGGTTTGATCGAGTTCAGATCTCCTGTACATTGAGAACAACCCATATTACCAGTTGGTTTGTTGGACTAGCCACATACGATTAATAGAATAATAGATAGACCCTCAACATAACCTGATATTACAAAATAAAACATAAGACAGAATTACATAAATACCCAATATCCTCCAATCATAGTACTTACAATAATCTCCGCTGCCTTTTCATTGACAATGCTTCCATCATTGCGTATCCGACTATTTATATAAATTTGTGCACGAGTAGGTGCCACCCCATGGGCCTCTTTTGTCTAACAATATAAAGGTAAAATAACTTGAAAACAAAAAATTTATCATCATTACTGCAAATATGTAGAACTAACCTTCTCTTCAATGAGCCTAAGGAATCCTTTTGTGCCAGTGCAGTGAAGGTCTTCTAGCTTGGCTCGATTAGTTTTATTAATTTGGCTAAATTTCTACAAAAATAACAACAAAATAAAAAATAGTTAAATACTAATGTTTAAATTGACTCATGATAAATATAATACATTACTCTACCTTTCCCTCCTCAGAGCACCAATAATGAACCAGTACAATATTGGTTCCTATCTACCCGATCATCTGAAACATTAGCAGCCATTTCTTCTTCCGTTTTACTCTCATCATACCCCTTTGCCTTTATTTCATTCTTCTATTGCCTTCACTTGTCAGATACAATTTGTAGGAATAGCTTTTTTGTTTGCTCAGTGCATCTAGGCACAAATTGAAACTTTGACTATAACCAATGACACCAAATTTAGACTTATCATCATGAGTGTCAAAACTTAAATAAATAACTTAGATAATCTTAAACAACTTTTATACCTCTACAGTTGTCCACATATCATCTTTGTAAGTCTGGGGCATATCTTTCCATTTTATATAGTTGATAGGTGCAAATTAGGCCCTTCTTACCATGGTACCTGTAAAACCCACAGTTAAGTTAGTGGGTAGACTGTTTGGGGGAGTGGTGGAGTTGAGCATTCATCCATTAATAGAAAAATGGCAAGAAGTATTAAATCCAAATGCATCACCTGCATTTCATTAAAAACACCATAGTGCTGAAAAGAGCAGTAGGCTAGCAAAGCCATCTCCATAAATCTAAGTTACAAGCTGAGTTATCCATCCTTTTCAGTAGCAAGGATGGTGTGGTGATGCTTTAATGATATATTTGACAAACAATTGGAGTTGGACCTACCATTCAATGGTCTTCTCTGGTGATATCTTATATAGGGTTTATTCATGATGGGTTTGAGTTGCATTGTGTTGTACCCAAACTTCACCATTGATAGCTAGGCCTGGGTCTGCCTTGGAAAGTTTATGGTCCAAAACACTTTAAACAGAGGCTGGGTTTATAATTCCAGGCTTGAGATTTCCACAAATTTCTAGGCTAACATAGCCCATATTTTTTTTGATCAGTAACTAATAAAAACCAGCCAAAAGGTAGATGACATACCTACTCACTAGTGGGCTGGATGTAGCTAGCTCCTGTGGGAGTGGATTCAAATTCTTAGTTTCTTAGCTTTGATTTCTATGTATGTGAGCTGCTGATTAAAAAAAATGTGTATGTGAGCATGCATTTGCTGACATACCTACTCACTAGTGGGCTAGGTGTAGCTAGCTCCTTCCTGTTGTATTTATCAGTGGGTTGCCATAAATTATATCTAACCTTCCCACTAAGTAGAGGTGTAAAGTGGGTCCGGCACGGCCTGTGGATGGCCAGCACTTTGTGTGGGCCGTGCTGTGCTGGCCCGTGGGCCATCATGGGCTGTGCCGCCCTCCCCGGTGAAAATTTTGGGGGTCGGTTCGGCATGGCCTACGGCCCGAGCCCATGTGGGCCCGTATCATGCCATGCCGTGCCACGAGCCGGGCTGGCCTGTGGGCTGAGCCTTGGGCCAGGTCAGGTCGTGTACTAGGTCAAAGCTATTTATTTAAAAAAAGTTGACAAAAAAACTTAAAATTTTAATTTTATATGAATTTTGTGTATAAAATTGTTTATATATGCAATAATTAAATAAATTAGTATAATAAAATTAAAAAAATATTTATTTTATTAATATATTATATATTATATATTACTATATAATTATAATATATAAATATATATAAAATATATATATGGGCCGTGCCACGGGCCATTCTGGGCCGGGTTGCGGCTGGGCCGTGCCGTGTCGTGCCGGCCCATGGACCTAAAATCCCAGGCCCAACACGGCCCACATGGTCGTGCCGGGCCTAGCACGACCCGCAGACCGTCATACCGGGCTGTACCGAACCAATTCGTGGCGGCACGGCCTGATTTACACCTCTACTACGTACCAAGTAATGTGGAGTAATGCCATAATAGCATTCTGCTGAGGAGCTCCTCAGATTTACCATTTGATRGACCGGAATGGGCTGAATGGGCTGAATACAGTCTAAAATTACCATTTGATGTCTGGTCAGGATGATGCTTTAGATCAAATTGGACAGCAGGATGAACATCCAATCAGCTCCTCAGATTTATGTCTAGAATCTAGATCAGTAATCAATAATCAAATATTCTTTCTAGCAATATAATGTATTGGGTGGTCAGACTATCCAATTGGATCAATGAAAGATCATGTTGACCAACAAGGAGGGCTCACATTTTAGCATGAATGAACACATGTACAGAAAAAAGCTATTCTTTTATATTATTACTAGCTTTAAAGACTGTAGAAATAGTTTTTTTTTTCCTTAAAATGAAGATGGCCAGGCTGGTAGAGACCATTTATTTAAGTCAGTCACATGCATGGTTTCAGATTTAAGTTTAAAATAATTGGATAGGATTTGGACATGACTGAATCCAATGCAAATCCAACCCAATTAAATCCCTACTGTCACTGTTCCTCATACTATAATAATGTCATGTACAGTGAAACATATTCTCTCTACAGATGTAAGTGATCYTTGGGTGGAATTATCACTTTGATCAAATCCAAACTATCAAATTTACCGGTGTATTTTCTTTTTGTTTTCAAAGTCCAAACTATGGTGGAGTTTCTTTGGGACCCAGGGGATTATAAAAGGAACAGCCTCTTAAACTGGAAGACTATTTGCTTGAGGGGGATTAGTTTCAGTTGGTTTGGCAAAGAGAAACTTTTCTCTCCTTGACAAATGGCTTTGGAGGTTGCAATTGGAATTTGACTTTTTGTTTTTTCTTTTTATTGAGAAGAGGCAACTTCCATTAAAAATCAAAAAAGACGGGGAATTACAATGGCAAAGTGTTATCACTATACAATGAAGCCCTATCTACCCCTGATTTTGCTAAGGAATCAGTTACAACATTCAGCTCCCTAGAAACCCATCTGAAAGAACAAAAACGACGAGTAGAAATTTCTCAAATTTCTCTGAGCCTGTTGGTCAATTTCTGGGGACCCACATCTTGTGGCTCTGGATTTTTCCAGCCCATCAAACAAAACATGAAGAAGCAATATTACTTCAAACAAAACAGGGCCAGAAATGTATATACATTTCTAGTGAAGAATCGAAGAAGATTATTCATAGAAATATATACATATGATGAGGGAGATAACTAATCTAATCTGTCATTGGAGATTGGAGCCCAATATAGGTGGATTGCTAGATCAGACAGCTACCTTTTTGATGGACTGGATTTAGGGAATCACTTGAGGGTGCCGGCCTAGGATTTGGATTGACCGACTAACTCACCACTGAGTTGTTATTACATTAGAAATCTCTAATATTAATCCATACATTGTGTTGTCATCTCTTACTTAATTTAGTAACATTTTCTTTTGATGCTGATCAAGGTTCAGAAGTTAAGAAAAGTTTGCTAGCAAATCCATGTCTTTACTTTTTGTCTGGTTGCATCATATGGATGGATTTTTAACACAGATTCTAATTGCATTCATGACTATTGTGGCAATTATATCCAAAGCACAATAGTGGGCAACATACTGATACTTGAAAACATAAAGGGCAGGGGATGTCATCTTGCTAAGAGGTCTACCATGTGTAGGGAGGAGGGAAACATGCTACCTCTGTTTTGTAGATGTAGCTTTGAGGACTTCGCTTGAGAGTTGTTTTGTAGGATATTTAAGAGTCAGAGATCAGCCCCAAGTCAGCTCAATGAGATATTTGCTCTCTGGCCCAAAACCGGAGGCAGCAAGTGGTTGAGCTTAAGGGACCTGGGTGTACTGCCACCCTAATGAAAACTTCTCAGCCTCCTAACTTAAAATCACAGGGACGGACATAAATTCCTACTGATTTCCAGACAGCCTATAAAATCTGGGAGTATTTTATTGGTGCAGCATAGGTGACCTAGGTAATGCCATGAATCTGGATGGGGCTACTAAGGGCCTAGCATAGACCTGGGTGTACTGCCAAAGGAACCAGGTCTGCCACTGTTCTACTGGTCATGGGAACTGGATCTGCATCTAGGCCACAGGGATGATACACTGTTTATTGTAATCACTCTGTTTGAGAGAGAGAGAGAGAGAGAGAAAAGTTTTTTGTACCAATGAAATTGGTAAGTCATCACCAATTGGTCGGCCCATTTCATCTACTTGAACAACAATATTCTCCTCCGCTGCCATATCCCACACCTCTAACATACGTGTGGGACCTTGAGGCTTGTATTGAGCTGAAAACATGAAAGATGTGTAAATTGTATATGGGTTATAATAACTCAGTAAACAAACTAAGGATTTTTATGYCAAATTAACATATACAAAATTATSAAATACCTTTAGTTGGCTGCCTTTGTGAGTATGCATCCACTGGTGCACTACCCTGGGTGGTTTGGTCCTCATTGTTGGGCTCAGCCTGGGTAGTTTGCCCCTCATTATTGGACTCACCCCCTTGTGGTTGAGCTTCATCTCTTCGTGGGAATTCAATGAGACAATATTCAATCTCTTGCGTTTCCCCATATTAACCTGTAAGGTGTAACTGAGAAGGATAACTGAGAAGGGCTTATAACAACTCCCCATTAGTTCAATTTTTTGTCAAAACATAAGATAAGGTAATGATATAAAAGCAGAAATGACCTAAGAAAGAAGATAGCAGAAATGAATTGTCAATGTGATACAAATAAACCATACATGCTCTGCCAATCAAAAGAAGAAAATAAACTTTTTTTTTTTATTTAACTCTAAACCCTATAAAAACAGTCAAACACCAATATGCAATTTGAGAAGTATGAGTATCGTCAAACAACGACTACAAGTGCTAATTATAAACCAAAACACTTTGATAGTAGCCAAGTACAAAGAATCCCAAATCATGATAGTGAAAACATTTAGTAGAATGTGACATAATTAAAAGAAATTCTCTTCATCCTGGGTCCAACTTAGCACTTTGAGGGAAAGATTGGAACATAAGATGACTTGTTTGATGTTAGACTCTTTAATTGTCCTTGGCATTTGGGAACCCAAACTGTACTATTTAGGATTTTGACAGTCATTCAAATCGTCCCTTCTTATTAATATAAAAAAAACCCAGAAATAGAGGAGCATGTGGAGACCTAAAGTCTTAAAATTGAATTGTTTTAAAACCCATTTAAGCATATGGGATATACATACACACTAATACTCAATCAAGGCTGATGGATTTATCTCAACCTGTATGGTTGAACCTGAACCAAAATGCCATTAAGACTGGCCCGACCCTAACCCAAGAGGATTAACTTCTATATCAAGTCAATGTGTGTTGAGTACCTAACAAGAGTTGTATTTGGTCCTTGAATAGAAAGGTTGACTTTCAGATTTTTCTTTGTTTATTTCTTTTGGTGATAAGCAAAGACTGAAGTCAACCTCATATGATAGTGGTCATTTTATCAGGCTTTCTAAATTATCTAAACCTGTTATTTTGTTATTTTATACAGAAATGGATTGGGGGAACAAGTGCCATAGAGATTGCAAAATGGAACATCATTAGTTTATTTTTTTTTGAAAGCAAATAATAAGTCATAGTTTTTAGGTAGATAAGAGCAAATCATATAATTTGATTTTGGCATTAGGTTTTGTGGTGACTTTCATCTAACCATGATTTAATCATTGAAGTTCAAGCAATCCACTAGATCTCTCAAAGCCAATTTCACATCTCTATATGGTTGGATTTGGCATTCTCATTGAAAATAAGTTCATTCCTTTGTTTCCATATATTTTACATATTAGCAAAATTATTTCTTTGAAATCTCCTTCTCTGCATTGTTTTAAATTAATTCAATTCCAATTGAACTATTATTGATATGCTTTTCCATGTGGATTCACAGCATATTAGCTTGACTAGCAATAAGCCATAAACTTTTTATTCCAAAATTGCAGTTTACAAATAAACATTCTTCCCTTGTTACTTAGACATTTGTTTTTAGTCTTTGCTTTATAATCACTAGGAAAGTATAAAGCTTAAGAAACTGAAAAGAACACAATCTATTCATGTTTGCTTATCAATTGGTTCAATATAAGGATACCTACCAGAAGTTTGGCAAAGAATCTGATGTCATTATATAGAAAAGGAAGCTCTCACCACAAATTAAAAGATGCATGTAGAGAAATTATTTTTCTGGTTACAGGATACCATTAACACTAGAAAACAACCATTTATTTTTTCAAACAAGAAAAAAACCTAAAAATTAGAGAAAGGGATTTTTACCTCAATAAAATTCCGCCGATGTGTGAAACAAATACTTGCTAAATGCTGACGTGTAATCGCGTGTGATTATGCTACTTTGCTTGTTATTTTTGTAGAGAGCTCTGTAGAGCTTCAGAGTGAGAGATCGACAGAGAGAGAGAGAGTGTGAGAGAGAGAGGTCTGAGAGAGAGAATTGAGAGACAAAGATGATTCAATGGGATAGAGAACAAGAGAGAGAGAGAGAGAGGATTGAGAGAGAGATGGATGGGAGAGGAGAGAGGCAGAGAGGGCGGGCGGGCGGGGGGACGGGAAGGAAAATGCGCGGGGGAGGATCATGCGTTATTTCTTTCTTCACTTTTACTCTTAAGCTATATCCTTCACCGACAACCATTGATCCATCGGTATATGTACAAATATACCGACAATTTATGTTTGTATGTAAAAATAGCTGTCGCTATACGGAAATTTTTTTTGTAGTGAATTAGTATGTTTCTTTTTAAAATTACCCCTTAAACTGAACATATATGAGATTTGTGTTAGTTTAGAAATTTCTCAACCATTGGATAAACTTGGGGATTTATACTGACAAGGTTGACACTAGTATRTTACCAAAATGGTGGAGTAGCTTATCTCATTTAGTAGGGTTTGACCCTAGGTATAATTAGTAGGTATCTATAAAAAATATTAAATATAGATCAATTTTCAGTTATGCCTTAGACCTTAGATATAGATGGGTAAGACAAAAAAGTTGCACTTAACCCCAGACTTAATAATAATATTGTACTAGGCCTCGGACTGAATTGCTTTTGATATGCCAACTAGTGAGATCTTCTTAGGGTCAAATGCTTGGATATGTTGGAGTAGTTTAGGATATTATCTGAGTGGGTGATAAGTGTGATAGGATCAATCCCTTTGCTAAACGAACTGAATACTACGGTATACATTCTCTTTGATGGAAACCTAAAACTACAGTAGTGTGTTGGAAGGTTTTGATTAAACATGGCCAAACCTATTATAATTGTTGGTTGGATTTTTCAAAAAAAAAATTAACCAAACCTGAGAACCAGTTCCTTGGTATTTTGAAATCTAAATTTTTGGATCAAACATGCACCAAACTTAGACTAGATTTAAAAGAAAATTTTAGTACCGAACATACCTGATACAGAGTCCATAGGGTGCAACTCCCAGAGTGGTAGTTCATACCAATATTAGACCTAAATCAACCTCCATTTAAAGATGGCACAATTGTATATGTGAAGTCGATTCAACAATACTCTACTAATCAAATTGAAAAGTAACTTGGAATTCAATGCAGATTTGTGAACCTCCTTTTCTTTAATGTTCTTAAAAAGCACAACGGAGAGTTAATGAGAATCAACCTTATGTATGGATGGTTCGAAGTACATTTTTGGTGCAAGGGAGAAGAGAAAGAGAGCAAGAGAGAGTAAAGAGAATGAATAGTTCACCTCTTCTCTTGAATCCCTTTTATGGATTTCTCTCCTAATTGGATTAGGTGTCATCCTAAATCAGATTTGGATTAGGACTTAATCATTTCATTAGAATGGAGCTCCATATCCAAATTTGACCTAATAAGTTGTCATGTGATTTAATTAGTCTTACTAATAATGGGCTTAGACTCATTATCTTTAATGGTTTACATACATATGCATTGCATGGCTTCTTAGGCTTCATTATTGAGTGGCAAGGGGTTTCATGGCTTCTTAGGCTTCATTATTGAGTGGCAAGGGGTTTCATGGCTTCTTAGGCTTGATTATTGAGTAGCGAACCCTTGAGCCAATCAAGTTGGTTTTTGTCTAGGCCTAACAGTTAAGTATAATTGATCATTGGGTTCAGCCTCCTTAGGGATAATAGATTGATGTTAGATAAAGCCTATCAGGTTATGAACCATCTAATGGCTTTTTGTCCTTAACCTCTCAGCCCTAAAAAACCAAAGCATTGTTCATAAGAAAGGACCTCTTCCTTAATTACAAAATGCAGTGTCACCCCCTCTGCTTAGATGGATCACAGGATTAAAACCTTTTGTAAACATTTTTATAGAAAATAACATAATATATGTAATAATACATTTTGCAAATATGATTTTAAATACATTTGAAATCCTATGCCAACAGTTTTAGATTTCCATCAGATAGAGTATAAACCCTAATATTCACTTTGTTTGACAAAGGGGTTGATCCTATCACTATAATCACCCACTTAGGTAATATCCTAAAGTATTCCAACTTGCCCAGGTATTTGTTCAAAAGTAGCTTAGTCCAAGACCTACTATAGTATCATAATTAAGTATAGGGTTAAGTGAAACTTTCTAGTTTTGCTCGTCTGCCTTCAAGGTCCAAAGCATAACTAGAAATTGGTCCATGTTCAATACTTCTATACACCCATTAACTGTGCTTGGAGTCTAACCCTAGTAGCTGAGACAAGTTGCTTCACCAATTTGACATCACATTAGTGTTAGCCTTAGCAGGATAGACTCCCCAAATTTATCTAATGGTTGAAAATTTTCTAAACTAACACAAGTCTCATAGATTTATGCATATCAATTTGATTGGAGCTAAAGGCATAATTGTCTAACAACTCCCACTTGCACTTAGATCTATTGAAGCATAAGCGCTAATGGCTTAGTCAATAGGTCTGCCACATTATCTAATGATGCTGCATTTTGAATCTAGATGTGTCCTCTATTCTTAGGGTTAGAGATTAAACATGGCCAAACCATTTCTAGTAGCYGGCTGAAAAATATATATTTTTTTCTAACCCAACACGGGAGCCAATTTCCAAATAATTTTAAATCTAAAATTTATAAATCGATCTTGCATTGAATCAGACCAGATTTGAAACTCAAATCAAAGAATGATCATACCTAATACAAAGTATACAAAATCAACTCCTAGAGTGGTGCTTCACACCCATCTGAACTAGCCTTCAATAGAAGATGGCGCAGCTGCAAAGCGAAGTCGATTCAGCAAAGCCCTTTTTTACAAAACGGATCTCCAAACTAGCTTGGATATGTTGTAAAAGTGTAAGCCTGAGTGTGTCTTAGTTTTTTGTCAAAAACACAATAGAGGGTTGACGAATTTCATCCTCTACCATAACTAGTTTGAACTAGGGTTTGTTGGAGTAGAGGGAGAAGAGAAGAGAGCAAGAGAATGGAGAGAGTAAAGTGAATTGTCCTCCCCTCTAAATCCCTTATATAGAGCACTACTAATCCTATTAAGAGCTAATCCAAATCAAATTTGGATAACGACTTTATCTTTGATTAGATAAACATTATTTTCTTAAGAGAATGGATGTTCCATTCCGAGATCCATATYCATTTTTGACCAAATTGCATGACAACTTAAGTTGTCATGCTATCTAGTACTTCTTAGGCCCATTTCCTTTAGTGGCTCATTAACTTAGGTGTTGCAAGGCCACATAKGCCTAATCATTGTATGGCATGGGACCCATAAAGGTTCCACATAAGTCCACAAGGGTTTGCCCCCACCGCTGGAGAGGGGTAGGCCAAATTCACTATCGAGGGATGGGGAAACCCTGACCCAATTAGCTTGGCTTCATTTAAGCATAATCAGCCTTATAAACCCTGACCCAATTAGCTTGATCATTGGCTTCATCCACCCTACAAAGACCCAAGGTTAATGGATTTATGTAAGATGAAGTCCATCGGATAATCAGCCTTATAATGGTCTCTTGCACCTAACCTCTTGGCCCATAATCATCAAAACACTAATCATAGAGAATAACTTCTTCCCTGACTGTAAAATGTAGTGTCACACTCTTTATTCAAATAGATCCTAGATTAACCTTTTGCTAACATTTTTATAAAATAATAATATAATATATAAATTCATTTTGCAAATTAGATTTCAAATTTAGTTGAAATTCACTACTAACAATTTAGGTTTCCATTAGATAGAGTGTAAATCTTAGTATTCATTTTGTTTGGCAAAGGGGCCGATCCTATCACTATTATCAGGTAACTTCCTAATTCTATTTCTAAAGTACTCCCAAATTTTAATATCCAATTAATAAAATACACCCAAATTCACATAATACTATTTCTAAAATATCCCAAATTAGATGTATCTTTAGGTGGTTGCCTCAGGGTTGGGAAAATTTGGGGATTCCCCATCCCAATAGGGAATGGGTGCTCTGTCCCAAATTTGCCTTACCACTAGGGACAGTGTAGGGATAGGGTATCTTAGCTATGAGGTAGGGATGGGGAGAGGGTGCCCTGCCCAGTTTCTATAGTCATATTTTAGATAACTACTGTTAAGGATAGTTAATAATCGCTATTAATTGTTTACAAAATTTATTACCATTAAAAATAATAGAAATTATTAAGAAAATAATATTTAATAGAAATTACTATTAATTGAAAGAATTAACTTAGATTAATGACCATTTTAGGTGATATCTTAAATGTTATATCCATATTAGCTGTATATATTCAGAAGTTACTGCAAAGCAGTTCATACATATCACAAAAGAGAGGTAGGATCCCTTCCAAGAACAAGACAAAGAAGAAAAGGAAGAGCAAGAGAAGGTAAAAAAGCCCTGTTGACCAGAAACTGCATGGGAACCACCTAAAGAAATAATTGTGTCTCAGCCTGCAAAATTCTTGTTAGGGTCACTGAAGAAAATTAAACAAAACAGGATATTCTTATTTATATAATCTCCTGGCCGGGCATTCCCTTTTAATCTCTTGATGCTCTGCCTGTCCTGTTCATTATTCAATAATAGATGAAATGACATCCATCAAAACCTGTCATGGACAACACAGGGACAAAGAGATTAGTTTCTTGTTTTTGGAGTAAATAATAGGGCAGTTCATGTCATGGAAAGTTGGGTGTATTCTCGACCATGTGATTGACTGGATGAAGTCTAATCCCAGATGATCATCCTAGACAAGAGAAAAATAACTCTTGTCTAGGCAATCACATATTCACATACCAAAGAATCTAGTGGTAGTATGATTATATGAACAATAGATGCCTTAAGGGTCTGTTGGGGTGTTTGGATGAAAAGATATATAGCCCTTGTTCTGATTTTGACCCAGCTACGGGTTACTGCATCTGCTGTTTCCACTTCAGGGATAATGGTGATAGTCTATATATCCTTTGAATTCCTTTGAAAAGTTGAATTCATTAAATACTAGTTAAGAACATCCTCATATCCAAACACTAGGTTTGGTTTTGAATTGTGGTTGTGATGGTGATAGATAAATAAATTTTACCAGTGCTACTAGTTCCATCTCATGAAACAAGACAAATGTCATATATAAACCAGTACTTTAATTGGATGACTTTTAACCATCTGATGATTGGGACACACATTTATGGTAGAACCCTATTCAAATTTTAAGGAATTAAACCTATGAAAGGACCAAAATCAGATGAATGAAATAGGACTACAATATTATATCTAAACTTCTAATAATGATGATTAGAAGATTTCTGGACTTGCTGAGATTTTAACCAGCTGATGCTCTAAATAGGAGGTCATCTGATGATGTGTTCCAATTGTATCCATGCATGGGGGACAGGTGGCAAGTTATAGGGGGCTTCAATTCAAACCAGTATATATGGTTCCAGTTTTCTTCCCAAAGCTCAGCTTCAGCTTCTTGAAATAGCTTTGAAGTTTTCAAAAGAGTATGAAGTATACATCTCTTTGCTAATGGTTTAATTACGACAAGACTAGTGAAGTGAAATGGATCTTAATTAAACTTACTTGGATCCACTGTGACAAGCATGGCCGTCCCTCCGAAATCACATGTGCCTCCGATGGCTTTGGTCCTTTGCCAGTAGCTATTGAAAGCATACGAAGCATGCGCGAACAATGTGTCTGGTAGGAAGCATGGCCCATTTGGCTGGATTGACCCGCAATCAGCTCCAGATCCACAAGCATAATCTATTGCTTCTTGAATGATAAGTTCAGGGACCGTTGGTTTAGCAATGCACCAAAGTGGTGATACTGCGGCTGTATACGGGGGAGGTGCCATAGAAGGTGGAGGAAACACAATAGGTGGTAGAAAAATTGGAGGACTAGGAACAAAGCCAATGGGCGGCCTTGGCACATATCCAGGTGGACTGGGAATGTAGATTGGTGGGGTCAGACCAGATTCTGGTGGACTAGGCACAGACTCTGGAGGACTAGGAAAGTTACTGGGTGGGCTAGGGATGATGTCTGGTGGATTTGGAATTGGAAAAATTGGTGTCATGTAAGAAGCTGGTGGTGGTGGAGGTGGTAGTGGGTAGATGGTAGGTGTTGGTATGGTTGTAGTAGGTGGTTGCGGAGTAAAGGGAGGATACACGCAGAACGGAGGAGTATTTTCAGGCAAGGGAATTGGGGCCAGAGAATCAAGCGGTGGCAAGTTGAAAGGTGAAGCTATATCATAGGTTTGGGTGGTGGTGGGATCTTCCTTGACGTAATCGAAATGTTTTGACAGTTTCAATTTATTTATTGCTTCGATAACTGTATTTCTTTGACGCTTGGGACCTTCAAACATGAATAGTGACCTTGGTCTCCTTGCATCTGCTCAATCAAATTGTGTAATGGTTAATAATTGGGGGTTTGATTTGTGTGTGAATTGCAAACGAGAGAGAGAGAGAGAGAGAGAGAGAGAGGGTACCATCGTGAGTGAAGAGCCTAGCTGTTGTTATAGAAAAACACATCACAGAAATGCACAACATCATACAATTTCTTGCTGGAGCCATGGGAAGAGAAGCAGCTCTCATGAAAGCCACCAACTTAAAACATGGTCTGTGACTCCTCTCGGAACCATAGTAACACCTGGGATACATATAGCAGCCAAGCAGGTGGAAGAATGTTTCAAAAGAGAAAAGAAATTAATGGAGGATAAAGAGGCCGGCCTTAAGGTAGGATAGTCGAGCTTAGCACAATAGATGATTCCTTAGCCATGCTTTTTTCATTAACACCTTGCCGCAGATGTGTCAATGAAGAAACGTACGTAGAGGAGAAAAGGCTTCATTGGGAGTGAGCTAGAGAAATTTAATGCTCGTGTATTTCCTTTCTACTTAGTTTTATTTGGCATATATGCTTTCTTCGCATGAAAGAAAAATAATAAAGTGTCGGTTTTTGTACCTTTTATTTTGCTTGCTCTCTACTCAAAGATCTTACTCACACTGATCACTCTCTCTCTCTCTCTCCTCCCTATGGAAACCATTTTTTCAGTGAACCACCGAGGTTAGTTCTTTACACTTGAATCCTTTTATACTCGTATCTTTAAGATGTAAATTCCACCCCATGTAGTCATCTGCAGATTGTAAAATCTTCCACCCCAGTATTCGACTATATGCTTGATTTCTACTCCAGTTGGGTTCTCCTCTCTCTACTCTCTCTCTCTCTCTCTCTCTCTCTCTCTCTCTCCTTTCGCTTCCCAAAGGTTTTTAGAAAAAATAAAAATGAGAAGCTAATAAAAGTAACCCACAAACAATTTGGTTTCTTCATCCAATCACTCCATCAAAGAAGGTCATCATACGGGTCTCTTCTAGATTCTTTTAGTGATATTAACATAAAGCCAAAATGCCCTTCATATGAAACAGAGGGAGAGGACAATCGATTTTTCCTATACTGTCTTGGTTAAAAGAAATATGGACTTCACACCTAAGTCCCACAAATGCTCCACATGCACATCTCAGCATGCATTGGGAACATCTCTGAGTGACCCGAGTTGCAGTAGAATATAGGCTAGAGTATTCAGCAGTTAATCAAAAGATTGGTCAATATGATTAACTTTACTACTAAAGAATGAATTGCAACTTCAAACAAATAAACAATATAATCACAAAGGCTGCAAGGGTTAGCAGTTAAAGAAGATAGAACAATAAATGCAAATAATTGCTAGAAGATAAATAACACCTGAAAGTTGGTAGAACAAATAAATATAGAAGCTGCTAAACTAGTTAGTGGAATAAACAGTTAAACATATTGAAATGTAAAGGTAGTTGAGAATTAAATGAATTAAGTGCAAATGACAGTTGCACAAAATGTGTGCCGAGATCTGCAACTGGAGAATAAGGACCAACCATAAGTTGATAGCTATGAGAAGGATTAGCTACTAAAGTATAATCAATTGGAGATTCAACCAGTTCGAGAGTTGCTACTGGAATCTCAAGGACAATTTAATTGTTGAAAGTAAATTAATATTGTAGTTTAATAATAAATGGACCAAGAAATACAAACTACTGTAGAAATGTAAATGCAAGGTAGTCAAATGTTAGTGATTTATATTTGTTGAAAGTTAGTAAACAATAAAGTATACAAACTGCTAATCAAAGATGTTAGTACAATTATTAGGGTTAGTAAAATTAGTAGCTAAATAACTATACTAAGATATATATGTCTTGCAATTTAAAAGAAAATAAACAAAGCAATGTGCAATAACTACAAGATATTCAAATATTCAAGTTTAATCTAATAGCAAAGGAGTTAGTAATGCCTCATTCACTTTTTGGTAAGCTACTTACCCGGGTAAATGCAGTTACTTGGGTTTGGTTTTCCTGGGAAACACTTACCCGGGTAAGTGCATTTACCCATGTTCTTTTATTTCTCATGTAAATAAGGCAATGACCATTTTAGCCATAAATATCCATTACTAAAAAGGGCATTTTTGTCCCATTCAAGTGTTGGCAACTTTCCCCATAGGTGGGAAAGTTATTTACCCACCTAGGAGATGGGTATCACTTATACGGGTAAGTGATATCCAGGAAAATAATATTTCCCTGGTCCCCACATAAATCTGAGAAAAGAACATGGGATTCATGGTCAATGGGAACCAAAAGCCCATTGACCAACTTTCCCCCCTCTCAGAATCCGAAAAAAGAACGCCCCGTAAATGTTAGTAGCAAAATAACTATAGAAACTTGAAAAGTGAAGAAAAGTTAAAAGAAAGCAAAGCAAAAAGAATGACATACAAGATTTTTATAGAGGTTTGGTAGAAACCCTGCCTACTTCATCTACCTTAGATACCTTGTGAGAATTTCCACTAACCAAACCAGCTAGACTTTTGACTGTTAGCAAAGCCTTACAATCAGTAGGACTTCCAGGCCTACAATACCTTACAACTAGGTAGTAGGACTTCTAAGTGCTTGCAATTCCTTAGATAGACTTCCGAGTGCTATCCCAACTTAACCTAGTGAACTTATAAGTAGCTACCCAACCTTAAATGGTGTTCAACCTAAAACACCTCCTACAATCAAATGAATTGCAAGTAAAGCACAATATGGGGACAAAAAGCCACTCAAATAGGTAGATATAATAGGATACAACACAAATCTATTCAATTGAAAGAGTATAACTAAAGAAACTCAACTCAGATAAGAGATTCTCAATAGACGGATGAAACTATATGAGCCCTATGGCTTCTTAGCTTTACTCATCACTAAAAACTATTGAAGATTGAAGCTTAAAACTCTCTTCAAAGAAAATAGACTCTTGCTTACTTACTCTAGAAGAGCAATTAAAGATTATGTACACTAATATCTTAGGTTGTTTACTTTCTTTTCTTATTGCTTCTCCTTGAACCAAATTAAATACCTCTATATTTATGGAGGTCTAGAGAGCAAATGACTATTTTCTAGCTGTTAGATATCTCTTACGAAGCATAGTAATGATTCAAAATATCTCTAACATGATAGAAGGTTTTTCAAAGATAGCAATAGCCATTTAAACCTTCATATAGTTAAGTTTCTTTAAAGTATCTAAGTTAACTACTAGATTCTAGTAATAGTTTACTAGACGAAGGGAGGAATCTTTCTTCACCTTAGGTCAATTGACTCCTCCTATTCAATCAATTAATACTTGTTTTAACTTGGTTTGACAGGGTTAGTCAACTACTTACAAATAAGGCACACTTATGCCTCAGTTGTTACATTGAATTTTGAGTTAGTTGACTATTTTTCATAATTAGACATTTCATTCCTTGATTGTCACAATTAGTTAACTATGCTTTTTGGGTTTGTTGACTATGTCTCATTGTCAGCCATATCATGCCTTGGCTATCATAGTGAGTCGACTATACTATAAAGTTTGACAACTTATGCCTTATTGATAGCCTAACACATAGAAACCTTAGAAATATTTTTCTAAAGGTTTGGGAACATTTCTTTTGGCTTCCAATATTCATTTTCCAGATTCTAAAAATTTGGTTAAGTACAAGAAAGCCTAAGAACCAAATTATTCTAATTGTTGGTCTCTAAGGTTGTTTATTTTAAGTTAAGTCATGTTGAGCATCATAAATAGTGCATCTCAAGCAACTAATTACATCAAGAGCTTAGAAACATGACTGTTTAAATCTTAGATTGATGTAGTCTTGATAACCCTGCATTTTGATGCCTTAAGGGAATCAATTCAGGGGTATTTTTGGCCTTAGAGTAGTCAAAGTGCACCATTTTTCTAGTTAAAATCAATTATGTGACCTCTAAGGGTCTTTGTGCAAATTATGTAGAAAATTGAGAAGTTTTCTAGGCTGAAGTGCAGTTTTTGGGAAGCTAGTGTGAAGACCAGTTGAGAGAGGGGGTGTTTTTGTAAAGAACAGAGAACAAGAGGGCACCTCCTATCTGCTAAACCCAGTTGACACCCATCCTACTGTATTACCATGCTCCCCTCTCCTTAGAAAACCCTAGGGAGCCTTTTTAACCCATTCTTTTGTTAGACAGTGTATGCCCTTAGCTCCAATCAGAATGATGTACCTTATGACATTTAATRTAAATGAATAAAGTATATATTTGATTCATGTTATTATGGTGTGTTTCTGTGTAATACCCTTAAACTGGACACTTATGAGACTCGTGTTAGTTTAGAATCTTCACAGCCATTGGATAGATCTGGGGAGATTTATCCAGCCAAGGCTGATACTG